CTTCAAAGGGCTTTTAGAGCAATTTCTGTAATTTACTTCACCTTACTTCCAAATGTATTTTTAGCAAAGATTTAGGGGTAGAGGTAAGCTGTGGCCAGGCATTTGTAACAGTATGCAATTTGCTTATTGCACTCGCATGTATCTGTTCTATCAGTCTTTTTTTTAGATGATATCACATTCAGTAAGACTGGGAATTCATTATCGAAGAGATGTGAATATCTGCAAAACGGTGACAGCACCTTAAATTATCAGCTCTCAGCAAGAAATGACTCATCTCCTCGAGCTGTTTGCCAAGTTTTACTGAGGTAAAATATGTGGCTTAGCAACCTGCCGTTATATAAATGCATTCTTTAAAAGACCAACAAGAAAGAGTGCGTCTTCAGCACTATATGGGAAAAAGTTGCATCAAGTTACATCATGCTTATTGTGAAAGAGCGGTACGTTAGAAGACATCCAATTATATTAACACCAAAGATGTCAATTTCTGGCATGGCTGTAGATGCCGCATAGCTCAAGATAGCACTGTTTTATCACCACTCCAGTGGAACAAGCCAAAGGCTTTATCATCCTGTGGATGCTGTCCTCTTAAAGCATTCAAAGGTTAATCATTCTGCTTTGTGCCTGTAGCTGGAAGAAGTAAAAGGCAATATAAGCCAAGACACAGACAGAAGTTAAAAGGTTGATCTGAATGTGCTGAGTAAATTCGTTCTATCCAATTTCTTGTTATAGTATATTTTTTATATGACAGCAAATAGATCCATGATTAACTCTTTACAAACCTACTATAATGCTGTTCAAGATACTCATTGTGATTTCAAGTATGAAAGAACATACATATGGTGGAGGATTCATCCACAGCTTTAAATTGTTGCCAGCATCATATATGGGATCCTTACATTGTAGATGAGATCACATTTTTCCATATTCTACCCATATGTGATTTAACAAACTGTCTGGACAACTGGAGGAATGACGAAGATAAATGTGGAGGAGTAAATGGAGCATTGAGGAGGGATGAACTTAGTTTTAATTCAGCGGATCTGTGTATCATTTTGTGGCCTCCAACACCAGGGCATCGTCTTCTGTTTGCTGTGTATCAATTCATTTCCCCCTCTACCGACTCGGTAAATGGATCTTAGCGGCGAGGAAATCAATACAGCTTCGTAAGTCAGCTTTTGTCTTGCAACTTTAATAGAGGAATCGAAACCTCACTTTACCGAGGGCGCATGTAAGAAAGAGGAAGCGAGATATCATCCGCTGTGAATAATTGCACGAAGCAATGCAGCACTAACGATGATTACGTTGACTTGGAGGAGAAAAACGTGGGGGAAAAAATGGGCCTTTCGGGTGTGGTCCATGTTGGAGAAGCAGTGCTTATATTCCTGCTCTATGAAAGGATTTCATAGAAATAGGATTCCAGCCAAAGGTACTCAACTACGGATGAAGGGCTCCTAAATACCCCAATTAAAGTTCTCTGGTGAAAACATGGCAGTGAGGATTTTAAACCAGGCCACCAGAGCTGGCACTTGTGAAACAGGCCATTAGTCTGCTATAATTGTCAGCAACACTGTCACACATTTGTCTGCCGCGGATCCCGGCATCCGCACGGGCCACAAATTTGGCGGTCACATCAATCAGGGGCCGGAATTAATTGTGCAATTAAGATTCTCATTGCTTGGCAGATATAGCTACTAATGGATCAGTGACAAGCGTGATATGATCGTAAAGAAGGGACTTTAATGTACTGTTTAATTGCTCTTATGTGGTCCTCGGCGTTACAACAGCAGCTTCACGAGCCCATTTGTTCTCCACGGTCCTTGGTCCCATTGGAAATAAAAAAATGATGGGTCACGAGATGATGTAAGGTCATGAATTGACAAGGCTTTTATGGCTCTTGAGCATATGCGACACATCAAGCCTATTTTGTGTGTCAGCTTTTTACACGAAGCGGGTTAGCGTTTGTGACCTTGTTTAAAACGTGTTTAAGGGGTGATTATATGCATACGTGTGTATGTGTGAGTGAGTAAGTTAGCAACAGGTGAACTGATTGTTCCATCTCTGGTGGCAGGGTGTGGATGTACGTCTTTGAGAGGAAGGACGGTACCTCGCTTCCTGCCGCCATTGCGTGTCGCGCAGTGAGCAGTGACATTTGACTTGGTTATTACAGCCGGAAAAAACAAATCTCCACTCCAATGCTGGCCGCTGTGGGCCGAGGGGCTCGGCGTCGCTCAAAGCAGCTGTGAGCACAAACAGTGCTGCACGCTGGGAGATAAATGCCAACAATAAATAAACTCCAGCGGCTATGCGTGTGTGGCACATGTGTGCGTGTTAAATGTGCCTAAATGTGCCCTTCTTGCCTCCATGTGGGAATCTGTGTTTCTGTGCCGGGAGCTGTTCTGTAATGCATCTTTACTGTCGAGCTTTTCACCGGTCAGATAGGGGATTGCGTCTGAGGTCATGGATAATGTGAAGGGGCTGAGAGCGTGGCCGTTGGAGCGCGACTAAGTGGCAGATGGGAGAACTGAAGCTGCAACAAAAAACGGTTGCTTTGAGCACGACCCGAAACCAATCTTCAATCCATTAATTTTGAAATTGATGATTTGGTTGTGATGATTTCCAACCAAGGTTTGTGTTTCTGAGGAACTCTTTCCTTTCTCCTCTAACAATATTACGAAGGTGTGAAGACACAAGCACTGAGAGGGCATGCATAGTTTTCTAAAAATCCCACCGCTCATTCTGAGCTCCCAACCAAGGTACGTCTTTCCCTCTCCTACCATACAAGTGATGAGTTAACCTCCAAGCCCTTTGACTTAGTCCCTTTAGTCTGCTAAAACAATCCTTCCCGAAGATCACTGAGTGGAATTCCCACAGCTGCCAAATAAAGGAATAACACAGCACGAAGAGACTTTGTTCACACAGTCATTGATCAGCATCTTCTACTGTGTCTTCAAGGCAGAGCTTTTAGAGAGAACTCTGTGTGAATGTCTCTGCTCGTCTCCCGCTCCTCTGTCTCATAACACCAAGGTCGAATGGTCCGTCCCATAGAACAAAACTTGTAGAACACAATTAAACCTGAGAGAACAGAGGAACCCTTCAGTGAGGAATGAAATACATGTGTTATCATGGATGGTAAATGTTTAAGAGAGAGGGACGGCGGTATGAAAGGGCAGGCTTATTAATGATGAGTCTAGCGTTTCGTGAAAGGTTAAAGCTACTCTACTTTTCTGATACCACACCTGGAATCTGTCTAAAAGTACCTACTGATATACTCGGAGAAGAAAGCGAGAAGATAGCTAGACCGACACGTAGACAACTCCTCCCCCGCCACTTTATTGCCATTTAACCTTTTCTCTCTGCGGCGAGTACACTTTTATTGAAAGCTATTGAGAGCTCCTGCTGCTGCAACTGAAAGCCTGTCAAAATACACCCAGCATGGTAATTAAAGACGCAAGCAAACACGCTGGAAGGGTAAAGGAATTCCCCAGGGAGAGTGTGCAGCGAGCCTGGCAGACAATGAAACATCTAAACAAAAGGAGACCTGGAAGGATTTTACTGTGCTGACATTAAACATCGGCAGGAAAATGTCAACTCGACAAAAACAAAAAGGCTCCTCTCTATTTCATCTATACGGCTAGATCACTTTGTGCGTGTGTGTGTGTGTGTGTGTATGTGTGTGGAAGGCTATGAGTTGAAAGATGCCTGCAGTTCTCTGGCATGTCACTCACGCTACAATTTAAAACATCATTGCTTTGTCATTGAGGGAATTACATAAATGACAGCGTGTAAGCCATTATCTATACGTGTGTGCTTATGTGTGTCTTTGCACTACAGTGTGTAATACAATATATATACATGTACAGTTGGTGACAGTGGAGGCAATTATCAACCATGCTTTTCCTCCATGCTTTATTTGCAATAACTGTCACAGGCAGCCTCATCAGATTTTTATGAGATTTTTATGAACATACGTGGGGATTATTGAGATTTGTGAAAGCACTGCTGGGAAATGTGAAAGTGTGTGAAATGACAATAAGAAACAAGAGAGAGAGTAGCACCGTGGAAAGTGATGACATAGGAAGTAGCAGTCACTCAAAGCATGCACAGTTGCAGTTGGTGAAAAGAGTGAATGTGGAGAAAAGAAGAGTGATCACATGATCTTTTTTTTTTTAATCGCGCCACACCTGAGGAACATCTAACTCTCACACTCACCACGCCTCTAATGAGTGGAATTTTTAAATCCTCCTCAAAGAAGACTGGGACACGGGTACTGACATTAAGAGCTGTCTATACACTTTTCATCTTTATTCATTTTTCCTATACTTTAAAACGTACTAGTAGTCCAGTCTGAGCTCATTTGCCCCTTTATGAATGTAAAAAATGTTAGAAAAGCGGTGCATTAGCAGAGCAGAATGTGTCTCAGAGGGACGTCACTCTGTAGCTAGAACGGCTCCCGTGGCGGGGTTAACAGTGCGGGTGCCGGGCTGAGTATGGCGGGTAGGAGTGATGTTGGCACCGGGGGCCCCTGTACTGCCAAGGTGCAGTGACGGCGGGGCCCGCTGTCAGGTCGACTGAGCGCGGGCTGGACGAGGGCAGTGGCCTCACCATCTGTTGCACGACAGCCAAAGTCACCCTGCGCGTAGGCTGATCGCCTGAGTGCTGGGGTGTGTATACCAGCAGTGTGTGCACGTCATTGTCCCTGATCATGTGTGTGTGTGTGTGTGTGTGTGTGTGTGTTTTGGAGTATGTCCAAAGCTCTCTGTGGGTCCACATGCACAAAACATTAATAAATAAATAAATAATAAATAATAAATTAAACTGTCCCAGTTCCCCTGAATTCAAATTTCTATTTTAAAGGTTAAAAGTGAGAATAACAATACGACGCCACTCTCTTTTGATCCCCACTTAACACATTCAATGAACTGTGAATGTGTTATTGGTATTTCCCAGAGGGACAGCAGTAGTGAAAATAATTGTAGCGGCAGGTCCGTCTGTCTACTGACCACTTCTCGGGGCAGCAGTGAGTCCTCGGAGCGGATCACCAACAGGTCCACAGTCCCACCCATGGGCGTGGCTCGGAGCAGGGCCACCACCTCCTCCTGGCTTTGACCATTCAGGTCCACTCCACTGACCTGCGCGCGCACACACACACACACACGCACACACACACACACACAGTTCAAAGGACATACATACAAGCCAAAATGAACGTACACACACACTTAGCAGCAACCTAAATCAAGGAGCCCCCCGACCGTAAGGGGTCTTTGGCCTCCACATAATCTTCATGCAGATTACCCCGTGAGTCATTTGGAGATAGTTTTAAACATGGGTTATTTCTCCCTGAAGTGAGCGCTAGCTGATTTCCACGTCAATCTGATTGAAGTATAATCCAAATATTTCTCCATTTAACTACACCTCATCAATTCAGAGCTGGAGCTGTGGTGTGGCCGTGGGGAACACAGTGTGTTTGACTCATTTTCAGCAAAAGCTCTGTACGATTTCATTTCATGGCAAAACCATCAGTGAAAGAGCAATTCGTTTCTGAAGGGGAGTACAATCTCACAGAGCATACACAGTCACAGTTACACAGTTAAGTTAAGGATGGGTGGAGGATGGAAAGCTAGAGAGTGCAGCCCCACCTCCAGCAGCCGGTCCCCCGCTTTCAATCGGCCATCTTGGATGGCGGCCCCTCGAGGGAGGATGTTTTTGACATAAATAGGAGCACTGCCACCAATAGGTACGTCCCGGGATGTGATGCTGAACCCGAGACCCTCTTGACCTGTGAATAACAAAAAGAGAAATATAATGCGATATTTATTTATTTTAAGATAGATTGCAAGCCTTTATGCTCTCATTTTGCATCACAATAATGTGACAGAAATATTTCTCGTCGAAGCATCATCTCTCTGTAGAGGAAGAAATAATATGCACTTGTTTATGAATAGAAACGTTTTCCAACCACCATGATACCTTTTATATAGTGAAAAACACATTCTTATTTACATTTACTAACAACTCAATAACAAACAACCAGCATGTAGTAAACAACATATTCAGCGTCTCTGGAAATGATGGGTATGATTACATCTCACATGTATATTTTAAGGAATTGATCATTATGTATATTTGCAGTGAAAAACAGCCAAAAAAAATGCTGTGCCAAACCCTAAGATGCTTTTAAAATGACTCGTAGAAACTGTCCAGATTCTTGAAACTGTTTCTGAACATGGGAAACCACCATGGAGGGTTCAAATTATGGGTTTCCACCATGTTCTGAACGTCCTATGGTTAATGAAAACAGATTTCCATCGTTGCCATCAGGGTGTGTCTCACGCACGCACGTTCTTTTAAGAAGTAAAAATGAAAAAGAGTCTGGATCTAAATATAGTGTCAATGCTATGACCCAAAATTGAGTGTTTATGATAAGTGCACGTGGACTTAAAAACCACTGTCGTGAGCCACGATCAGATTAAAGAGCGGCTAGGGACCACAATATGCAGAAAAAGGGAAGGATTTTGAGTATCGAGAGGCTGGTCAATAGGCTCTTAAAATGCAGTGCACTGCACATAAATAGCAAAAAAAATGCTGTTTTCCAAATTATCCGAGTGGCCATGTTGCCAGATGTTTCTTCCCAAAAATCATTCAGACTCTTTTCCTGTGCAAAGGTAGGTCAGGAAACTGCGTTCACTTCATTTCTACAATGGTCTGACGTTTGCATAATGTGGGAAGCAGTGCTTCATTTGTATACTTGTATTTGAAGCCACTCCTCCATTCCTTTTACAAGTGCAGTGTTTAGTAGGATGAGAAAACACTTCGGATATCAGTTATTCCTTCAGGTTTAAAACTGACCTTTAAGGTACATCTAATGAATATGAATTGCAGGACTAGAGGAAGAGGAAAAAACAATAACGGATAAATAAGTCGATCTCAGGCCTGACCTTTTCTGACCAGATTTGAAAAATAAAAGCAAGAGATGGTTTCAAAATGTCAGCCAGGGAACAGGGTAAGCCTAATAAATTGTGTTTGGCTGGTTATTCTTTGACAAAAACATTTTTAAAAAACGCAATAACCCTGCCACATGATGACATAAGATGAGTCATTCAGGGAGACACATTCCACCATGCATAACCTAGCCGGCGGCGTTTCCACTAGTCAAGGGGGGGAGTTGCGTTACGCAGTTTCAACCGAGGCTTCTCTGATGCTAACAACAGTGATAAGCATTCATGTCAAAGTAGCTGCTCATTTCACAGAGCTGTCAGCGCCTCTGATGGTTCGTCATGACCTATTTTTCCCACCACTTCTCTCCAGCAGTCTGTCGTCTCACTGACAGTGATGGCGTTGATGAACAAGAAACAAAAAAGAAGGAAACGCAACTTTCTCCTGGCTCCTGCACACAAGCAAACTTGCGGAGAGGTGATGAAAAGGGTGCTTATGAAGGGGAAAAAGTTTGGCTGTTGAGGGTAACAACGTTCTATGATCCCTTCGTCAGCGCGGTACTGAGCACACAGAAACAGCTGCCGTCGGTTATTTTGAATGTAAGTTGGCTTCACGAATGCCAAACTTTCAGTACAAGGTTACATCGGCAGTCTCTTTCCTGCTCGGACTTTGTTTCTAATCAAAAAGGGGACCGCCTGACTCATCACTCCATGATCAGTACCATTTCAAATCCTTTCCCATTCCTTCCGTCCCCTTTCTCCTGTGACCCCCCCTCCCTGCCTCCCATTCCAGTACTTTTCCTCTCCGCTGATTAACACAGTCTAATGACCGGAATCAAAACTACCGCCTATCGTAAGATCCCGTCATTACAATCCTCCCATCATGCAATTAGGAGAATGCATCTCTAATAAGCCTGAGGTAATTAACCAGTGACGTCTTTATTTTTGGTAATAGGGGACCAGGATCAAAGTAATTGTATCCTATCTGTATTAGTTTGAATCTTGGCTCCAATAAGCCAATTAAACAGCAAACACCAGTAGAGGCTGAGTCACATTAGAATGACTTAATAGGGTGCGCATGTTCTTTTCAGGCATTTGATTAGGGCACTCTTGTTCATTTTCCCAGCAAGATCTGATTCTGCAACTCGGACCTCCAGCTCACTTAGGTCAAATCATAACAATTACAACGAATCAAGAAGAAAACTGCTGAAGCCTTTGGAAAAGTACTAGTGATGCAGTCAGATGCTAAACAAACAGAACTGTCAAAATGGATTCCAGGGTCAAATTTCCAATTCAACGGTGTTCGGACAATAACTCATCTCCATTTGCAGTTCAAAACTGGCTTGCCGTTTACAAGCAAAGAACACCCATTCCTCCAAGCCCTATTCAAACCATGAGCTCCTGCCCAACTTGGGCAAACAGTGTGCCTTTGAGAGATATGGCTGGTGTTGAATTAGTCCATGAAGTGGCTAGTGTGAACTGACTATACTACTGGCACCAGGCTTTGGATCTACTGGAGCGCCACCAACACACTTTCCCAAAAATTGAGCAGAAATAAACCGAGAAAAACTTAATCGCATTTTAAACAAAGTAACATATCTTGGACTGCAGCTCCACGTTGTAAAACTCTGGAACCGTGCTGGCAGCGCGCGGGGACCTCTGGCAAACATATTAGAGCAGCTTGTGACTGCATCTCCCCCCTGAGCGCGCGCTGAGTTTGTCCTGCTGCCCTCACTTATTCCCCAAAGCTCGCCGCCGAGGTCTCTGTGCCAGCTTTCAACGTCTTGAGGAGGAAGAGGAGGAAAGAGAGGGAGACACAAGAGTGTCACCTTCGGCCCTGGCTCATTCTACAACAAACCGCTCGTCAAGTCGTATGAAGATGGAGAAGTGATGAAAATTATGCAGTCAAACCAACACAATCATTGGCTAAGACATACCGTTAAGGATCGAATGCCCAGTCATCAGCTCGAAGAGTACTGATTGGTGAATTTTAATATTTCAACTACAACATTCTGACGTAGCGTGATCAAGCCACAAACACGGTTTTAAGAAGTAGTTGATTAGTGTCTTCTTTTTCTCCTGCTCACTTTAACAAAGCCAGAGGGCAAGTAGAGATTTTAAAATTATTCACCGAACGATTTATGCTTATCTTTTTCAACCCATTGTTTATTCGGGGGGGAAATGAATGCATGAAGATGACGAGAAGGTCTCTTGTGTCTCATCAGAGGTAGATGGGGTGACAGAGTGGAACATGGGGGATTGTGGCAAAATTAGACATAATAACAGAGAAAAAGACTGAGAGGCAGAGGCAGGTGTCATTTGCATCTGCTGTCCCCTCAGAGGATGAACTACGGTTGACACACACACTTAATGATCAATACAGTAAAGGGGCTTGTTTGTCTAGATACTGTCTTTGTGTGATAGAAAATGTTGCCGACTAATCCAGGGTGTACCCCGTCTCTCGCTTGACTCCAGCCCCCCCAGCAGCCCTGTATGAATGAAAGGCTGTTTGAAGATGGATGGATAGAGGGTTTTCTTGTGGAATTACAACCATTCTGTGTTTCCAACCCTGTGCTGTATAGTAGCATTAAGTTAAGCTTGTGCAAATACATGCTGGAAGCTATTTTCATCTGGCTTGTCGAGAATCAGCGATGCCCGCACACTTCCATGGTGTAATATTATCTGTTACACTGAGCACTTTACGAGAGAGCGGATGTAATTTGTGAATGAAGTGACTAACTTGGCTGGCACCAAGCAAAGTCAAACACCTGTCAGTCATTCTAGGCCCTATTCTAAGGAAAAAGCAGGGCTGGCTGAAGCTGAATGATGAATACATTCTCAGCCAGTCACATGACTAGCTCACCCCACTAGCTCAACCAACTGGGACCAACTGGGAATAAATGCTTGTACCTTTTCAAAGATAGAAAAGAAGCCTGTACATGATTAAAGCCAACTCCAGCTATCTCATGTCTCTTGTATGAATAGGCAGGACATAGAAATACTACTGACCTGTCTGTGTATGATTCTCGTGAAAATGCTGAGGGGATTTTCCCTTTTAGAGCCACGTCTGCGTGTGTCTGCTGGTTCTTACCTTTCTTCAGCTGGATGTTAAATCTGCGTCCTTTGTTCTTCGAGTAGGAGCTGGTGGTCTGGTTTGTGCTTATCCTGCGCTGCAGGGAGGGGGAGGTGGATGAAGAGGTCCGGGCGACCAAGTGGTGGGGTGAGGTGGCGTACCGTCGGCTCTGATCGGGGGTGCTTCCTGCCAGGGGTCCCTGGTAGCTAAAGAGGAAGACGAGATTCTAGATTATGTAAAACATATGTACATAGTGTACAGATTATGTCTAACATAATGTGCTGGAAAGTAAAGTAGAAGTTTAGTTCATGCAGGCCCTTTTTATGTAGTCTGTGTTTTCAACACCAGGCCCAACAATCAAGACAAGAAAAAAAGACATTCTATCTTGATAGTATAACAGAACAAGAAGGTTATGTATTTGTTGTTTTTGCATCCAAGTATTCCCCCTTGTGCATCTCAGTCTGTCTAATTATCCAAAGCTAATCTTACATATTGCATGACCAATCGGCCTAATACTTATTAGGCCTCAGTGCTTATTTTTGAGGACCAAGGATGATCAAGGAAGTGTGAAGAGAAACATTGTCTTAAAAAGATGAATTTGCTATTTATTCCAAAACAAGCAGTGGGCAAACCTTTGTGCTGCTGCATATACATATCATCTGTCAAGCTACTTCATTGTAAAGTACGATGCAATATAAAGATGTCTTAAAATTAAATGATTATATCTCTGTTGTTCACTGACTCAAACATAGAAGGTATAGAGGTTTTATCTAAGATAGGATTGAAATTAAGACTGTAGATAAAGACCTACTTGAATAACACCCACATATTTAGCTTTCTGAAAATAGGCCGAGGACATTTGAATAGTAACCACAGGCAAATCAAATTGTATTGTATTGTATTGTAATTGTAATCGGCGTCATGTAATTGTAATTGTATTGTAAGTCGCTTTGGATAAAAGCGTCAGCTAAATGACATGTAATGTAATGTAAATTATGTTTCAACAACATTCCTTAGCCTTATCATGCTTCATGGTAATCACTTTTGTCTGGCTTTCTAACTCTGTGTCTTACACACTAAGGCACCATGCCGGACAGGAGGACACGCAGTAACTCTGAAACCTACTTGTGGTTGAGGCCCGGTGTTGGTCCAGATCTGGGCATCGCCCCCCCCACTAGGCTGGAGCGATCCCCCGACTGCATGGAGGCTTGGCTGAAGCGGACTCTGTTTTGCTGGGGCGGGCTGAGCTCGGTCTGGGCCGTCAGCAGCTCGTACTGCCTCTTCCGGGCTGCAGGGACCACATGGAAGAGGATGACCGAGCCACGCATCGCCTTCTTGAAAATGCTCTGCGCCCTGGAGGAGATGCAGAAAAGAAATAAAAGCTAAGAGACAGTACAATTATACTATCATAGCTTGATGGATATAGAAGGATGAGGAAAGCAATGCAGTAATACGTTATGAGTGGCGATAGGGAGAGTTGAGATTGGCGTGGCTAATCGCAGGGCTACTCCGCACATAGCAGAAGAGGATAGAAATGACATTATCTATAATTACCAACATCAAGACAGGAATGAGATAAGAATGGTGAGTCAGTGATGAGACAGAATGTATTCTATGTTATGCCAGTGAAAGATAAAGTAAAGGGTTATCTCAACAGGATAGTAGTCAGTGTGTTTGTGTGTGGACATGAGTGGACTCAACAATCACAGCAGAGAGGATGAATCATGCATTAAGGAAGCTTTCCAGACAATGAGCTTCCAAAGTAACCAGACACACACTTCACTCTTTACGCATAAAATTACAAGAAAATAGCCAAAACACACACTCGGTCACATGCAGCTCTTTTTGGGGGGGCATTTTGTGTGGGGGGGGAAATGCGCCAAGACAAGAGGCTCAACATGATTCCCAGATGCAAGACGTGTTTATTCTGGTGTGCCGGTGGCACTTAGCATATAGATAGGCTGGGCCAGGGGCGAGCAAGGCTGCAGCAAAAGGGGGCCAGAGACGCGTTGGGGCTCTGTATTCCAACAATCCCACCTCCTGTTTCCAGACCCCCGATACCACAGCAGTATTACCATGCTGATTCTATCCAAACGCTAAGCTGCTTCTGCCCCAACAGACAGCTCTTCATTCTAGCGGCGTCATGGAGGCGAAGCTCCCATCTTTTATTCTTATGGTAATTTACTAAAATCACTCATGTGCACATACTCAGGATGATGACTGTGTGTGTGTGTGTGTGTGTGTGTGTGTGTTTGCGCAAAAATGTTCGCACCTGCACATATACAGTGCCATCACTTCAGTAATCAGCCTCCACGCGAGCCTGATTGAATAATAAATTACCCCATCAATGCATCATTACATTCAGTTAGATTAAGCGCCTCAAAATATTTACCCATGCAAAACAATCCAAGGAGATTAGACTATCACTTTAAACTGTCGCTCTGTGCAGTGTTGGGTGGGGGGGCGGAGTGGTGAGCGACATGGTGGGAGGAAAGTTTTGGTCCTTCATATCATTTTCATGCAGAATCACAAACATCATATGCTTTTGGATGTCGGTGTTGTGCAGGGCGTGCGTGGGTGGGGGGTTAGTGCGAAATGCTAAAAAACATCACTCCCTAGTGGATTTGGTTTGTAAGCCTCTTTCACAGTAGAGAAAGCTTGGAAGGAAACTGGGATGTTTACTAATGACAATAGCGTCTTTGAAAAAGAAAAAAATCCTAAAACCTTGGTGGCTTTGAACGCGCTCGGATGAACGCATCGACACAATGTGGTGAGGGAACCATGATAGTCTAGAGATTATCACAAATGTTCTTTTACTTCTTCCCTGGTAAAACATCTAGGCATGCCATGCTGAGATTAAATAAATAAAGTTTGTGCTAAGTGGTTAGTCTTTGACTCTACTTCTGAACGCACAGGGGTTCCACACTTTTTAGATGACCGTGTCCAGACCAGTATGACTGTGGGCTGGGCCTTCGATAACAGGAATCGGGGCTATTTCTTCCTGTGGAGGAGTGGATGATAAGGGGGAGAGCTGAGCAGATCCCCCTACACTGCCTCCAGAAGGCAGTCTGGAGAAGAAGCAATTTAATTCCCAGCCTGACACACACTCCCACACCCACACGGGTGTAGATAAGACGTGATAGCTCAGTGTGTGTGTGTGTGTGTGTGTGTGTGTGTGTGTGTGTGTGCGTGTGTCTAAGTAAGGTAGTGGTGGCTTTGGGTAAATGGTTGGAAAAGTCACAGGTTTATATCTTCATTCCACTTTATGAAATGATGGTGGAGCGATGAATCGATAGGAATGAATTGAGAGAGGAGTGTAGGTGGTTTCGCATCGGGGGGGGGGTGTGAAGCAGTGGGGAAGGACTGCGGGTCACTGAGACCTATTACAGGCAGGCCAACCATATTTCTGTTTCATTGTGCAGCTGTGTGGGCTCCACTTATCAACAGCAACTCTATTTACTCAGGGTGAACCGTAGCCCTGAAAGGACACGATCCAGGATGTGTCCCAGCTTTGGAAGCAGTGGAAGGAATTAAAATCAGCCTGGCATTCGGAGCACCAGACCAGAAGGGGCCACACCAAAAGGACCTGAGCAGTGAGAGACACCGAACAACACCACAGAGGGTCAACTTTAGAGCTTACTGTTCGAAGCGCAGGTGGCGAATGTCTTCCCGGTTGATTAAGACGATACAGTCGTTCTCCTGGAAGAGGCGCTCCTGCTCGGCCTTCCCCCCGCGCTCCAGACGCTTGACGAGCAAGCCCTGGGTCCTGGAAATGATGAGACAATGGGTTACGGAGAGAACGTCGTCAGCCACTCAATTGTCAATTACACCTCGCAGTCACATTCCAATATACTGAACGGCAGGCGGCAAGTTGCACGCTGGGTCCCCCGCGTCCGTATTTAGAAGAGTTAATGACAAAGAAGATAGCATTAAGATAGCAGAAATGTAAGAAAGATAATAGAAAGATGAGCATTATTCAAAGAATGAGCGAATTCTCTTTGATATCCGGAGTGGATGTTGGTTGTTGGTTAATGGCCTGGATATTTATAATTGTTTATTTTTTTCTCCTCCAAAGTCACCAAAGTACTTTGCCCCCTACTGTGGCAAAAAGTAAACTCTCTAAACTAAGCAGAGATAAGAAACAGTGCTTTAACAACGCAGTTTCCAGCCTGTGTCCTGCTCTCTGTCGGCCTTTCTGTGGGCCGGTTAGAGAGGATGACGCGGCGGGTCGTTTGAGGTAATCCAGACAGCTGAGAGATCATCTTTTGGCTTCAGAGGAATCGCTGCACTTTCCTTCACTGCAGCTTAAGACGGGAGCTTGGGGTGCCGTAATAAATACCCGAGCAGTTCCACGGCGGCAGCGCCGGCTCAGCAGTCCCTTCAAAAGAAGGCAACCTTTACCTTCAAACCCCCCCGTCACTCACTCCTCTAAATAAATACATCAATGAGCCCAAAGCCCGAAGGATAACCGCATGCAAAAAGATCTGATGTGTGCTCTCGCAGCAGAACTACAAACTCCATCCGTCTCTAAGGAGTCGGAGCCTGAGGAAGCAGATAGACAGACTCTGAGTGCAAACGTTTGGTGTCCTTGCATAAAAAAGAAAAAAGTTGGGGAGCGAAAAGTGGTTACTTTTGGGAAATTGCTAAATAGTGTTGAAATATACCAGAGCCAAACGTATTCAGAAGCCGTACTAAGATGAACAAGGTTACACTGCAGATCAACAGCTTATCAGGGGCAAGGAGCTACGTGCTCTTCGTCATCTTCGGTTACCTCCTGTCGTTTCTCCGGCCACATAAACAACAGCGCATTGTAATCTCGACCCTGTTCACGGCTGACGTCAAGGGCACATTTGCAGAGCTCTTTAGCATTTTGGTCAAACGGGGCCATGTTCGGGAACATTGCCCTAATTGGCTGAGGAGCGTGGACATCCACGCTCCTTCCTTCTCGGCTCCTCGCGGGGGTAAAGGGCTCAGCATTGAGTCGAAAGTTTACAAAAGGCCCGTCCCTCTTCCTCGGCGACTGAGCAAGCTGAGCCAGGTCAGCTTAAGTGTGTAGAACAGAGAGTAATTACTGGCGGCGCGGCCGCGGACATGATTGTGCTTTATCTCCATAAGTGTTGGCAGCTTGAAAACAAAGCACGCGAAAAAGGAGATTAAAGCGCGGACACACTCTAATGACTTCTGATCTGGTGGCGGAACAGACGCAGTAGATGAAGGAGCTTCAGATGATCCCTGATCAGTATTCAAAACAGCGGCAGGGAGGATCGGTGGATAAAGCGGCAACTTTTAGAGATATGAAGAAGATGATGATTTAGAAAAAGCGCTATTATTGTGATGACTGTAAAGCACTGCCACCATCTCTATTCCTGTTTTTAATGTAGATATTTATAATGTTCTTGGGGAGGAAAAGGGGAGAAAAGAAGCAAAATCTAAATGGCACTCTCCCAGGCTGTGAGTCAGTGAATTAATTAGGTTTCTGATATAAGCACAAGGAGTTTGTAGCCAGACGATTCAAGTCTCACTGCTTCTAAAACGCAAGCTTCCTCTATCCGCTATGCCAAATGGATTTACTCCATCTTGTGGCTGGGAAGCAGTGCTGAGAAGTGATTTGAAGGAGACCACCTGCTCTCATCCGCTGCCTTTAATCAAATAATAATCCAATCAGGATCCATTTATGCGCGGCAATTATGTCCGCAGTTTGTTTACAATCGAAACTGGTCACGGAATGAGAAGTTCATTAAGCGAATAACGCATCTGTGAGGGATGTTTGTGTGTATGTGTGCAGATGTCCTGCAGTTTTGGTGTACACAGCATTCGAAGTAGCTGCAAAAACTCTGTTATCGTGAGATAAGAGACCGACAGAGACGCGAGAGTCTGTGGGACAAACTGCGAGGCCCTAGTGATCAGAGAGAGAGAGAGAGAGAGAGAGAGAGGGGGGGGGGGAGAGAGAGAGGGAGTGGCTGAGCTTTCTCCTTGAGTTGTGTGCCCCTCTGGCTTGGCTCTTCCCCGACACCACAGCGCCTGCAGTTGCTCGTTTTCCGTCTGGTTTACTGGCTGTCTGACCTCTGTGGCCCTGGTCTAGACACTGATGACAGCCCGCTGAGCCCAATGCCTCCTGTCCTAGAGCATGGCAAACAGGAGAAGAGCTGGGCCGGGCCATTAGCGTCATGCCACTGACTAGACGCTATGTCTGATCATGTCTGAAGTTACTAGACGGGCCTGATGGCTAATGGTAATGATGGAAAAGAAACGAAGAAAAGGAGAGTATCCATGCAGTCTCACCGGACCTGGTAAGATGCGGTTTGATTCTGTGGGAATACAGAGGAGCTGGAGGATAATAGCTCATAAACAGCTGGATGTGACCTTTAAGTTAAGCAGTACTGCTTGGTCCCACACAATGAATTGCCGCTTTCCTCCTCTGACTCAGGATAACTCACAAGTGTCATAGCTTATGAGGGAGTCAATTGCATGAGGTCAAAGCTAAATATAGCTTCCTGACACTTGGTTATAAACAGCAATGGGATTAGTGTCCCAAAGAAACGATACACAGCAATCTTCAATGACAGCCATCCTCTTACTCTCTCTCTCTCTCTCTCTCTCTCTCTCTCTCTCTCTCTCTCACAAATGTCACCCCATTCCATCTCCTCACTTTGTCTTTCCACCTTATTTTCCTGGCTCGTACTCCCTATGCTGAGTAGTTGCATTCACCTTGGTGGTGTGCCAGTCCCTTGGCATGCAGCGGCGAATTTGTGTTATACACAAGCTTTTAGTTTGATTACATCTGGCCACTTCTTCCGTCCTATATTTTATTTTTTGGAATAACTGTAAACCGGGATGTAGTCCTCCTCTTGTCCCCTGTCATCGTCACTCCTGCTCGTTTAAAAGGAAATAAATGAAAAAGCCAAAAGAAAAGCGTTCTGAGTCACCTTCAAAGCGGTGTATGACTGAGGAGATAAGGTTAAGATAAAAGAAAAGTGTAACGCAGCCATGAGGAAAGCTGCTTTTCATCTATTCTGCTTCTCACTGGAGGCTGGCGAGCTTTGGGATGTGTGCGTTGCTGGGCAGTGGCCTGGTGTTTCAAATGAGGAGCTCACAGAAAGAGAATAAAAAAATATGGCCGGGAGAAGCAGAGTCAATGAAAGAGACAGCCTTGAGCAAAAAGGTAGAAAGAAGGGAATGCAACAGAAAAGAGGGGACAGAGTAAGAAAGAAAAAAAGTCAAATAATAAGTAAAAGGAAAATAAAAACAAGACCCATGTACTTGAGAAACAAAGCATGCAGATGCTGGACATAACTGTCTATTGTTTCCTTTTCTTTTACCTGGAATCCTGTGAACTGAGAGGCAATACGTGGATCCCCAGGGGCCCTCCTCCGTTGGACACCTCGACCGGCTTGAGCAGCCCTCTGCAGGACGATGATGGATGAGGCCGAGGCGACAAGAAGAGGGAGGGGGCACGGGGAAATACACCAGAGAATAAAACAACGACAAGAGGATGACAATGACAACACAATGCAGAAAAGCCGGATATAAAAGACGACACAGTCAGAAATGACAGGACCTTGATGGGTCGTATGGGATGGGGGGTGGCACGGCCTCATTGGTGGAGGAGGCATCTGGTTGTCTGTATGAAGTCATCCATTACAAAGCCAGACTGGTGGACCTCAGGGTCGATTAGCGACCCGAATGGAGACTCCAATTAAGTGATTAAGATCAGATCGCGGTGCTAAAAGTGGACGTATTAATTAAAAAACGTGTGTGCAATGGAGGCAGGCGGGGGGGTAACTTTGTGTAGATAAAGACATGCAGACGAATGAACACAAGCGAGCGCTGATGCAGATGAGTGTAACGATGTTGAAGGGGGAAGGCGTGGTCATCATGTCTGCTTTGTGTTGTCTTTGTAATGTGGTGGGAGGGTTGTGTTGTGTTTGTTGATGGTGCTCTGGTAGCAATTAACATTTCTGGTGATGAAGCAAAATAAAAGGCCAAAATAATATTTGCTGATCTCTCTCTATGGTGTTATCTAAACATGTTGAGGTTTGTGTTTCACGTTCCCAGGCTTTTAGATTCTGGCAGCGAATGGAGAAGTGGAATACTGCCTTGCTTAGAGCAACACAACTTCATTAGCGCGGCTTCAACTTTTAAACTGACACACAATCACATTAAACTATCCAACAGTCTGATAAGGCCTAACAGTACAAAATAGTTCCTGTGAGAACAGCAATACTGCCATGGTATCTATTTAAATGTAACGGCACTGCCGACTTGACTGAACTGTTGTGGCAGCAGATATACCTGAGAAAGACATCTCCTACATGGGCAAACTACTATCTACAGGTGTAGATACCAGGACAGGGGAACAGCTACATTTTTCATCTGAAAAACGTAGTGTTGATGTTTGGTAGGTGGGGGTTGTTGTTGTTGATCACTCACTCTAAACTGAACGCGGGCGAATGTTCCAATGAAGAATCAGCCCTCCCTACGGGCTCTATCCTTTCAATCCTCCTTTCATGTCTCCTTCGCTCTTCTTCCTCATCCTCCTGAACAGAAAAAGGAAAAACAGGATTAATCATTAAAAGACTCTTCCAGCAAAGTAAAAGACTCACACTCTCAATGTCATTATTTCTCTTTGGCAGTGCTTGCATCTCCCTCTCTCTTGCGTATATCTCTCCTCTGGCTTTTAATCCAATTACCTGTGGGAACGAGTAACAGCATCAATTCTAAATCAAAAGAGACTTTATGCAGAGCCCAGGCGGCGCCACGGAAACCGCTTCCCCCCGCCAAAAACTTCAGCGACCGCGGTGACAAAATGGCCCTGATCGATGGCTCCCACTCAATCACAGGTCCGACCTGGGGCGTGGCATCTGCTGCCAGGTTTTCTTTTGCGGGACGCGATCAGCTCTAGAGGGGAGCAAAGTGGTCGCGCCCACTGTCATTCGTTTCTCTCGTGCTCTTCATTTCTTTTGCTCATCTTCCTTCGGGGCAGGAAGGCGGCTGCTTTTACAGTGCTGGCGTCTGAGGACTTAACTAGAGGCTCCGGAAAGGAGAGCAGCCTTGTGCCCTCCTTCATGGGTTGTAAACTCCTTATCGGAGGTCTCTTTATGGGGATGGCGCAGATTGAGCAGTCCACTTACGTGCAGTGCTGACATGCTGTATGTAGAGTAGGAGGCAGACATACCTGTTAGCGCAGGGTTCAATGTCAAGTAATCATCTGCCGAAGGTTACAGGTTACAGGAGGAGCTCCGGCAAGCTGAGCATCAACATTTCAAATTTAAAAAGGGAAGACAAGGTAATTGCCTTTGTCGCTATCTGTTAGTAACTTCTAATGCTTGTGTGTGTGCTTTCTTTGTGTATGAGCGAGCGTGTCAGCCCCTTGAAGCGTTTTGTTAGCCGCCGCCGCTCACCTCATCTTCTTTCTTTTTCCTTTGCTGAAATTTCAAGCACATCCAAATAGGTGTTGTGCCGTCCTGGTTTCGTTATGGAAATGGATTCTTTTTTGAGCCCAAGATATATTTGGCATCTGGCAGGGCGAGTGACACACAGGGACTCTCTTCTCCATTTATTTTTAAGAGCATGGCCATGAAATGTTAATCAGCGTTCTACCTTAAGAGACCTCGACTCACCCCGCCTGTCTGTTTCCCCCTCTGACCGTATGGTGTGAAAACGATTCAGTCAATCAGTCAGCCCTGCCTTTAATTACATGTCAGCTGAGCTCCCTGGTGCCATGCGGTGCCCGTTATTCACAAATCCTTCCATGAACCCCCCCCCCAGGTGGGTTGGCTCTTTCTTTTTATACATATAAGTGCTTCACACAAAAGACCGGACCACCTGCAGTATTCCATGAATGAAGACGGGAGGGCGCACAGTGGAGATTGGCCAAGAATAAATTGAACATCATACACTGTAATGTACAATAACATATGGCAGGATTTTTAGAGACTGTGGAACAAAAAGGAATATATTGAATTTATTCCATTTTCTCTGAAAGATAATGAAGGAGGCGAAGGTGCTCGACACCTTTGTGTCATTAGAAAACAGAGGGATCTGGGAGGAGAGCTGATTCACAACGTATCATCACAGAAAGTGAGTAACTGCAAACAGCAAACTGTTAGTGTGTAAATGGAAAAGGGCAGTGGGTTCCTCCTCAGCGTCTTTCCGCTGGAATATAAGGGAAACTAGAGTCATGTGATGGAACAAAGAATGAGGAAGAATTACTGTCAGAGCACCAAGGTCAAGAGATTCTTCACCTAAAGCATGGGGCGAGTGGTTCGCATGAATGTGGCAGGTAAAAGGACAAAAGAAAAGTGGAGCGCAGCACGAGAGAAAGGTGATATTTTCGTTCAGCTGGATTTCGATGGGTTGATGTGTGAAGTCAGTGTCTGGAGTTATAAATGCGAGTAAATGCAAGTTCTTGTAAACTCAGCCTAATTTAAGTATTGCTTTGTTAAACAGGTGAAATATTCACAATCACTATCTGCTTAACGAACAGCTGATTCAGATGTTTCCTTCCAAGATTATCTTGGAACAGTTGAACTACTTCAGATATGAAAGAGGAATCATTTCACTGCACCGGCACGATTCATCATGTTTCTTGTGAATTAACGTTCAAACGCTAAGCACCTCCAAAGTGAAACCCACAGTGAAGAAGATCCTGCTGAGACAAATAACACACCCGTCCTGGTGCTCTGCTTTGTAAGTGCCTGTCACATTTGAATGCACAAAACACTGCAACTGCCAGTAAATTCCTCCCACAAGCAGCAACACATGATTGACACTTGACCATGGATTCAGAAGGCGGTGCTAAAGTGGCCACTGTGCTTCATTAGAGGCAGGAATAAGGGCGCTGCCTGCTCATTAGAAACTGGACTCAGACTGAGCGCTAACAGACAAACACACGGGGCTGAATATGTTAAATAACGACTTGTTAAAACTGATATGTCAGACAGTGAGGACTTCTATGGTAGTCAGAACAGCGGTGGTCGGCGCCTCCCAGTGACCAGGGGCAGGAGGAGAAGCCATCTCCTCGTATATTCCCTGCCAGCCCACTTATTGTCTGTCCTCGTGTCAGTGGCAAAGAGTGACAGCAGAGGAGAGGCACTGGCTACATACACTTCCATCTCTGCCACTCTCTCTCTGCTCTCTCTTTCATGATGGCATGAATCTGAATCTACCACTTCCCAACGCCCTAAAGAAAACTCAGTTTCTTCCTCCCCCTTGAGGGCTTTTAGCACCTTGTTGATCCCTTGGTAACCAGTGGAGTGGGGGAAGCAACAAAGCTTTTCAACTCAACTCTCCATGGCACTCATTGCTCTCTCACCTCGCTCTATCTCAAAAAGCAGGCAGCTGCAGCATTAGATTATTGAAACCCATATAAGAGAGAAAGAGAGCGCGAGGTGGGGGGGCTGCAAAAGTGCAGAGTCTTGTTACCGTCAAATGACAGACAGGTTAGAACGGTGAGAGGACCAAGGCAAAGAGTGGAAGGGAGGGAGGTAGGGAGGGAGGCAGCAGCTGTCTGCTCACCAAGGAAACACTGTATACGCTCTCTCTCTCTCGCTCTCTCTCTCTCTCTCTCTCTCTCTCTCTCTCTCTCTCTCTCTCTCTCACACACAGACACGCATTAAATCCCACTGCTCGGGGGGTGGGGGCACAGGCTGTGTGTTGAGGGGCTGTCATCTTCCATCAACCGCTGTCCTAACGGACACCTCCTGTGAGCGCACGCGTGTGTGAAAGCGTGTCGTGCCATTAGCCATGGGCAAGTACAGGCAATGTATCTGCAGGGAAGGGGGAGGACCCTCCCGGGCCCGTCTTTAGCGTCAAGGGCTTTACAAGGACGGGTTCAAAGGTAGCAGCGTGTACCGTGTTCCTGCCCCCCCCCATCCTCCTTTAGGGTCCATGTGACAGCCTCATGGGCGGAACAGGGCTTCGTGTCGGACAGCGCCGCAGGTTGCTACAACCGGGACCCGCCTGTGCCCCGCACAACAACAACAACAACAACAATGTTCTGTGCCCAGTCAATGTGAATGAATACAAAGTGTACAGGAAGGAAGGAAACAAGCTATTTAACCAGAGACAAAACTTTAATCACGCAACGTGACACTGCTCCTCGTGGAAACTGTACAACCGGCCAAAGGTGACAAACACCATATCAACGACAACATAAGCAGACGTGTAGAAAGAAAGAGAGCAGTGGAGGCTTTTTCCTCTCCCTCGCTAAAGGTTAGGGAGCCATAATTGTACCCTCATTACCTCCAGTTAATGCAGTTTGACTAGACACTGTACAACAGACAAGAGCGGAAAGAGAGGACTTGACAGTGCCGCTGCATCGCACAGTGGCATTGACATACAAAGACGAACCGCCGGTAATAACTCCTAATTGTCCCATTAAAGTTCCTTTGACCTCTCAAAGCAATTACTAATAGGTTTCCATCTTTACCGGAGCCAGAATCCCGCTGAATCAATCAGCCATTAAAATAAGCTTCACGGCATTGGACGCAAAGACTTTCCCCCTGAATCTGAATCTGACCCACCGATGATCCCAAATTGAATCCGGAGTGTCGGGTGAGCTGGTCATAGCTGCAGCAGAATTGACCGTATGGATTATTCTGCCTTTTACAGCGGGCCTTTTATCCCTCATATCCATCTCCTTGGAGGACACCGGTATCGGAGGCCAAATAACGCACAAAATAAAGCATGTGTTAGTGGATTGAGCGTGACCGCCGCACCCACCGACCCGGCCCCACCCCTCTCTCCGCAATCCTTAACCCCTCGTTCCCCAGCCAGCCCGTTGGACTCCAGCGGCATTAAAACAACGATCCATCACAATGACTGAGATCATGAGATACTTATTTACATTTATGTCGGGGATGGGGGAGTATTATAAAAGGCTGAGAGAGGGGTTAAACTGATTAGTGGATGATGAAGGGTCATAATGTCCTCCTTCGTCCAACCCGCAAGTTCTCTAAATGGCACTTAATGCTTGTCAGCAACGAGGCAAAGACCAGTCCCAGCATGCTTTCTTATCCGCTTTACATTGTTAGCATCTTAAGGATCATGATGACGTAAGCTAATAGGGATTTCAATAGGCAGCAATGGGGATGAGCGATGTGAAGAGAGTTGTGCTCTCTGTATAGCGTCGTACCTCTTGTATCGGGCACGCTCTCAATGAATGTTTCATTTGCTTGGCAAACTATTGGCTCCCCGTTGGCTTGGAAATTACAGAGCTGGAAGAAAATCAAAGCCGTGTGACCCCGGTGCCGGCTTTCTCTTGCTTTGTATACGTGTTCGTGAGTGAGACGGATGGAGCGAGGTCACAATACCACGGGCCTGTGTTTGTGTGCCAACTTGAGAGGCCCAGGCGGCGGCTGTCCTCTGAAGGGGACATGTGTTGTCTTTCATATTTCATACCATGCACCCATGGGCCCCAGCCGCGTTGAAAGGAGATCACTGGCATTCCGGATTAGATGTACTATTCCTTTTGATGACGATGAGAGGGAGTCATGTATGAGTTGTTGTGCTGGGCTAAGACGGTGGGGAATGAGGA